AAACCCTAAACCCTAAAAAACCAAAAACCCCTCAGGTCGAGGGCTTACCCTGCAGAGCCGTTGGCTCTCGACTGCGCCTTTGGCCTGAATCCACCTTTGGGTTTAGGGTTTATACGTTTACTAGGGTTGTAGTGTAGGGTTGAGGGTTTTTTCGGTTTTCAGGGTTTTGGGGGTTTAGGGTTTTTGGGTCTAGGGTTTATAGGTTTTTAGAGTTTATAGGGTGTATAGGCCTTATAGGGTTTAATTATAGGGTTTATAGGTACCCGAATCCAGGTTCCTGAGCTCTTTTTGTGGGATTCGAAGGTGTTTCAAGGTGTTGCTGGGTTCTAGGGTGTTTCAGCTTTTCTGTTGTGTTCTAGGGGTTCTCAACGTTTTTCTTACGGTGTTTAGGGTCTTTTCCAAAGGGTGCTTGTTTCTTGGGAAACGGACTTCAATTCAATGGTTCAATAAATTTGCTTTGGTGTTTACAAGGCTGACAACCGCCGAACTCTCCGATGCAGCATGTGCTTTTGTTGGGCCTCGGACCTTACAACATGAATCGTTGCAGCCTCAATTTGAGGGTTCTGGGTTTACCTGTAGCCCCGAAACAGTCTACACTGAAGCCTAAGCCTTGAAGCTCAAACAACTAAACCCTAGGCCCCCAACCCTAGATGCCCCAACCCCTACAACTCCTAAGGCGTCTACATGGGTAGTTATCAAAATTATGGTCCCTTTTGGGGTACCCTAAATAATAGGTGCCGTATTATCATAAGGACCCAAAAAGGGACCGTATTATAATAAGGACCCCAAAAAGGGACCATAATTTTGACAACCACCCACATGAAAATTCAATCCGTAGCACCCTAAACCCTAAACCCTAAACCCTCAATCCGTAGCTTGAGCCCGAGAGCTCCAGGCTTCTCCAACTTCCGCAGCTGGGCGTGGACGGCCGGAGCCCTGCGGGTGGCGCTGTGGGGATTGGGGGTTGATTTAGGGTTTAGGGTTTAGGGTTTAGGGTTTAGGGGGTGTCGGGCTGAGCACGTCTTTTTAGAAGGGCTTCGGCTGAATCCTAAACCTGAAGCTAAGTGGGGAGTGGGGGTCAAGGGACCGTCGGTAGGAAACACTAACGGCTGAGCCTGTCGCTTTTTCTGTGTCACGATACTTGCGCATTTTGGATCATGTCGAGTCATGACAGAACCCCCATGCGTGGGTGGCTTCGGGCCTAAGGCTTTCTGCCAGACTGCCGCTTGAAGTCTGAGCGGGAGGATGGTGACGAGAAGCAGTCCAACCGCCTCATTCTGGACTTGCTGCGGGACTGGATGGCAAAAGAAGCCCATTAGGGGTTAACTCCGAATTCCAAATCGTGTGACTGTCGTTCTCTTTCTATGATTAATCACCCTGTGGCAGGCGAAGACAACACGATCTTGAAGCACGATGTGTCTGCACACATGGTAGTTGACGACAAACACGTTGACACTTTTCAGCTTTCATAATCATGCTGAAGTACCAGATGGACTTGGCCAAGTCGCAGAAAGCCCTTACTTATGCCAGAACCTGGACGACACTATCCTCATCGCAGTCAGACACCTACTCTCCGAGCGAGACCTACACGCAGCTGGAGACCGCGGGAGTGGCACTGCCGCCATCCACGCCGTGAATCTTCGCAATGCCCGGACCAGCGGAGGTGCTGGCTCTCATCACAGGCGAGTTGCTGCCTTGCTAGGACCAAGCCGACGTCAGAAGCTTCGTGGTCGGCCAGCTCGCCCACCACGCCAGCAACAGCTCCGTCACATCTTCGATTTCCTCAGCGCTGAGCTCCTACCGACGACAGCGGGCAGATGGACAACAAAATCATCACGGTCTTGCTGGACTTGTGCACGACCGCCGAGACGGACACGGAGATCGCCAGCGTGGTGGCCGCCATCAACTGATGGCCTCCAGGCGCCCATCATCAATGAAGGAGATCAGCATAGCTGACACAGGTCGGCAGCATCAAACTGGGGGCTTTCCTTGTTGACTGGCCACAGTTGGTTCTCGCTGGAAAGCTTCAGGAATGTTACAAACGCGACGTTCGCGGAGTTCTGGTGCGAGCCGAGCAAACGAGGCCCGCATCGCAGCGGCCGTCAGGAGGTGAATTTCGATTATTGAGCCGCGATCCCCGCCGCGGCTTGGGAGTCGCTGGGCGACGGGGCCTGGCCTCGGCTCCGCGTGGCCGAAGGCGTCCCGGAGGAGCACCGAGAGCGGCTCCGTGGAGCTCCTCTGGACATAGAAGTGGGCGCTGTTATCAGGCACCAGTTTCTGATTGCGTACGGTGAGCTGGTGTCTCCACCATGCACTCCGATGAAGGATGCTTTGGCAATGCACACTCCGTGGAAAACCGTTTTTCTTTGACATAGAGCACTGACCATGCTGAGGTGTGGTTACATGACTTTGTGTCATGTGGACGGGCACCAACCAAAATACAAGCTTGTCTTTTGCCAGCGACGGTATTCAATTTTCGTCTTTCATTCTGTTTATTCCTGCAGTTGTCTTGCTGTGTCGCGACAAGTCTAGCAGCAGATTTTTGTACTTTGCATGTGCTGGCAATGTCGATCTACCACGACGCTCACCCCAACGTGGTGCAGTCAGCTGAGGACATTTGCGCGCGTGCGCAGAACTTCTGGGGCCGGGTTGGCAGATGGGAAGAAATGCTTGCAGTTGACGTGAAAGGAGCCTAGCCTTAGCACTCGGTGCAGGGAATGGCTGGCCTCACGTATAGGGCCTCCTAGCAGCTGCTAGCAGCATTACCTCTCTGCCATTTGCACAGACAGCCAACCAACCTACCACCCAACCCACCAACCAACCAACCAACCAACCAACCAACCAACCAACCAACCAACCAACCCAACCAACCAACCAA